TGTGAGAGGGAGAGGGAGAGGGAGAGGGAGAGAGAGAGAGAGAGAGAGAGAGAGAGAGAGAGAGGGAGTGTAGCCTCCATCCCCATCCCCCAGCATACTCCCCAACTTTGCCCGGAACCCTTGGAAAAGAGTTCTCGGCTGCGGTCCTGTTTGCTCCTTAGAGTCCTCCAGCCCCGTCTCCTCTGGTCCACCGCGGCCACAGATCTCTTGGCCCTCGAGTCTGCCCGCTCCCTGCCCTTCAAGCCCTGGGCTGGCCCCTGATGTCGTTTGACACCTGGCGGTGGGCAGGGTAGTCAAAGGGAGTTGGGGGTGTTGGGACAGAGGTCTTGGGGTGTATGGGTGAGTGAGAAGGCCCTGCCACCCAGGGTGCTGACCAGCCTCTCTGCCCCCAGCTCTGAGCCCAGCCTCCAGCCATGTCGTGCCCCCTGGATCAGGCTATTGGCCTCCTGGTGGCCATCTTCCACAAGTACTCCGGCCGGGAGGGTGACAAGAACACCCTGAGCAAGAGTGAGCTGAAGGAGCTGATCCAGAAGGAGCTCACCATCGGGGCGGTGAGCGGTCTCCCCTGGCCCTCTAGAAGCAGGACTAGGGGAGGGGGGAGGTGCCAGGTGCCTCTGACTCACACTTACCCACATTCTGGCCCCGCGTGAGACCACGTGCCTTCCTGGCCTACACCCCTGAGGGGCCAGGGGTGCTCTTAGCCTGGTACTTACTCCCCTTAATGAGGAGTAGGAGCAGGGAAGTAAAGCCAAGTGAATCCAAGGTGGACTTGGATCTTTGGTGACAAGTGAGCACAGAGCCACCTGTATGAGAGAGCGCTGCCTGGGACGGGGAAAGGCAGAGAAACCAGGGTTCTCATCACCACTGATGGATTTCCCGTTCTGACATGTTAGAAGCTGCAGGATGCTGAAATTGCAAAGCTGATGGACGACCTGGACCGGAACAAGGACCAGGTGGTGAATTTTCAAGAATATGTCACCTTCCTGGGGGCCTTGGCCATGATCTATAATGAAGTCCTCCGGGGCTGAAAATAACTTGGAAAGGTGGAGACACCCTCTAGCTAGCCTGTCTGTCTAGTGGTGCGTAACTACAATAAATATTTTTCTTTGGTTAAATCTACCCCTGTGTCCTGGCTTCCCAATGATTTCTGTTTCCTCCTCTGGTGCTGCATCAGCCATCAGATTGTTTTCTCACAGGCACCTCTGGGAGTGACTCAGTGACTCACCAGATCAGGAGAGCAGGTGGGAGGGTCCACACGATGTGGGTGCACCCTAACAAGGCGGCTGCTAGCTCATAAGGTGCCTTTATGTGAAGTAGAAAAGATGCCTGCTCTGAGTGAAGCCATCTTAAGGAAAGGCTCAAGTGGTCCCCAGGAGAAGGCATTCTGGGATGGGCTTAGAGAAGGAAATGGTGCCTGAGCCAGGCTGTAATGGGTCCAGAATGGGTCAGAGATGGTCCTAGCAGGGTCCAAGAGGACAAAGACATGTTTATTTGCTCTGGGTGTGGTGAGAGGGGCAGGGCCAGAAGAGCTGTGGGGTGGGGCCGGTCCACTTTCTCACCACAGTGAGGTGGGGACAGAGAAGGCATATCCGTGTGCCCAGAGCCTGGATGGGGAACGCTCTGTCCGAGATCACCTCGGATGCTGTGTGGTTGAGTTCAGTTCTGCTCCCTCTGCCCTGGCTGAAAGGGGGAGACATGCTTTAGGAGTCCTTTGTGCTGGGGGCAGTGGTCTGAGGAGCTGACAGCCGTGAGAATACGTGAATCATAGGGTGCTCGTGAAAGGGAGGGGTGAAGGTCCCCGGAGCTGGGCAACATAGCTTCAAGCCCTTCAATCAATACTGAGCCAGCTCATCTTCAGCAGAATGAATCATCCCAGTTACTCCATCGGAGCCAAGCCTGGCTCTCAACCCCCATCAGGGAAGATGACTAATTGTTGTCTGAGTCCATTGTTTGCATTAGTGTTTTCAGGTGGGGGCAGGGAGGGGGCAAGGGGGTAAATTGTGTCTCAGGGGGTCGGGGCAATTGTTGTAATTCTATCCCCTCCAGGTCTTGTCTGTGTCAGGCAAGTTCCTCTTTAGGTTCCGGGGACCTGAGAGAGACCATATCCTCCTTCCTCTCTTGCTCACCTCCCAACTTCCCTGGGGGCCCAACTTTGTAGAATTAAGTGGTCTTCTAACTTCATGGGGTGGGGTTGAGTGAACATGAGTGAACAGTCTCAAGAGGGCTGCAAGCCTCACCTTTTGGCATCCCTCCTTCTCTAGTGGCCTCTCCTTCCCCGCAGGGAGCAGGGACTGGCACTGCTGAGAAGCAGGAAGGGACCCAGGGCCTGCGCTCCCGGCCTGCACAGCCAGTCTAAGTCAGCTCTATCCAGCTCCCTCGGGGAAGGGACTCTCCTGGCGCCGCGGCGGCCAGCGTATTGGGGCGTGGAGCGAGCGCCCTCGTGTGGACAGAGAGCGCGACGCTGGGGGCGGGTCGGCGTTGGTTTTCACCAACAGCGGAGTGGTGGAGACCCTCCAGAGAGGAGGGACACACGACTTGGACGTTCAGGGAATGTCCCCACGGGGATCTTTTGGCGCCCAGCAGTCAGCCTCCAAATGAAGCAACTCAACTTCATATAAGACACACCATGAGCAAGTCAATGAAAGGAAGGCGGTTTGCAAATACAAATGGAATCTGAACCCTGCCCCTCCTTTCCCCCGCTTTCAGGGCCCAGAAGACCTTGGTACAAAAAGGGAGAAGGGGTCATTGCAGTGAGTAAACACACACTGCCGGGGGAGGGGCTGCTCAGCCTTCCATTTGCAGGAGCTTGAGTGGGTGGGCGGGCCGAGAGGTTGAAGAGAATCTATAAGCGTGCGGATTCCACCTCCTAAATAAACAGGCGTGTCCTTTAGCTCCTGCCTTTCCGCAGTAGTGGAGGGGAACAGGAACACGGATTTAAAAAATAGAATAAAAGCCGAAACATATAGCAAACCTTTTGTTTGCTTTGAGGGCATGATTTTTAAGTTTTTTTTAGGGGGCGGGGGGCCAGCGGGAGGAAGCAGCATTTCCAGTGGAATCTTGTGGGTGCGCTGGACTCGGAGGGTGGGACTGGGTGTGGAGAGGGGCACAGACTGGTCATTTTTGTTGCATTTGCCTGCCACTGATATAACGTTGGAGGTGAAGCCTTCAGCTCACTCTGTGGAACAGGGTGGGGCCTGGGCTTGGAGGGGAGGGAGACGTTCGGGTGGGAGCTGGGTGCTTCGCACACCCGCTGTCCCTTTGCTGAGGCTGATCCAGGAAGTCTGATCCGCCTGCAGGCGGCTGGTGGAAGCGGCGCCGGCACGGGTTTCCGCTCGCTGAGGCTCCTTTTTCCCTCGCTGTGCATAAATGGGCATCCAGCCTGCAACCGAGTCACCCCTGCCGTGGAGCTGAAACAGCAGCACCCCGGCCGTCTGCAGGCGGGGGCGGGCCCCAGGCGGAGGGGCTTAGGACTGAGTCACAGGCCGTAGCTCTTTGTTCTCTGCCAGGCAAATCTGAAATTGTCAAGCGTCATGCCGCTGTACGTTTGTACAGCACTTTTATTTTTACAAGGCACTTTCATATCCATTGTCTTTTGTGATGCTCAGAGGATTTATGTGTAGTAGGTATCATTAACCCCATTTAACAAGTGGATAAGCTAAGTTATAGCGAAGTAAGTGCCTCGACCCCAAGTAAAGTGTAAGTGGGGAGCGGGGCCCTCTCCATCCCCTTGCCAGTTCCTTCGTGTTTATCTCCTCATGCCATATTTTGGCCATTTCTCCTTGTTTTTCTCTTAAATGTTTTAATGACATTGATAGTGTACCAGATGATTTATAGAAATAATCAGTGAGTCAGGGCTGACTTGGCTCAGGTCTTACCCTGGGCTGAGCCCCATTCGAGGACCAGACATTCAAAGGTGAGTGACAAGGTGTGGGAAGGGTATAGATCATGCATGAGGTCCTGGATTCAATCCCCAGTACCTCCATTAAAACAAACAAACAAACATAATTATCCCCCCCAAAGAAAACAAAGGCGAGTGACAAGGAAAGACAATTTTTCTCTACTTATAAAGGGGAAGAGGGCACCTGTTCTCCTCCCGAAAGGGTCTCCTTGGAAATGTCACGTAAATAAAATTTCTCCAGGAACCAGAGAGCTCCAGGAGCCTCCAGTTTTTAGGTCCTAGAGATCTCTAAATTCTGAGTTTTCATCCCTTTTGAAGTATAAAAACCTGGAGAGACAGCTCTCTGATCTCCTGGGCTCCTTGGGGCTTAACCTTGGGACCTACTCTAGGTGGTAAGCACTCAACTCCCTCTCGCTGGGAGAGAAGAGAAGTTTTATTACCCTTTTGGATCAGAGCAATTAACTACACAAGTGGCTGTGAGTCTAATTCTCAGGTACGGGAAGGATCCCAGGGAGTTAGGGCTTACGCTGCAGCACTGAGGAATGCACGAAGTTTTGTTTCCCCCGACTCAAACAACCAATGTTAATAAACAGAATGATTAAAAATAAACTAGAATGATTCATCCATAGTGTTCTTTATGATCGTGTCACTATACATACAGATAGTTCCACATGTGAGATCTTTTGTATAATGTAATTATATTATAAAAATGGGGTCAGGATATATATCTATTTTTCTCATTTTATTTTTCCCCCATTTAACAATATATCACAAATATTGCTTCAGGTCAACTGGTAGTAATCTAAACGCTTCTTTTTGATGGCTGTGTATTATTCCACGGTATGGACACCACAATTTTTCTGACCATTTCCTATTGGTGGGCATTTCCTACCCCAATTTTGTTCATTGCAAGCAATAATAATATTGCTGAATAAACACCTTTGTGCACACATTCCCAAAGACTGATGCTTTTGTTTGTTTAGTACCGAATCCCAGGAGTGAGACTGCTGGGTTGAAGGGCAGATTGCATATTTAATTGAAATAGCTGCTGCTTTATCACTTTCCAAAACAGCAGTGAATACTCACACTTCCCATTAGTGGTAAACGAGAGCAGCTTTCTCGGCACCCCGGACAGCCGAAGGCGGTGTCGTTTTAAAAAGTTTTAGCCAGTCTGATAGGATCTAGTGGATTTTGAACCATGAGAGCTCTAGTGGGTCCTCAGAGGTGGCTTAGGGGCTTCTCTGTGGTGGGGGTGGTGGCTCAGATGGGGCAGCTTCTGACCACTTAACCCTATTTTTGCCAGAGCTCTCTATTTTTCGTATATCAGCCTCCCCCACAAGAGTTAATTTTAAGAAAGGGTACTAGAGATAAAGGGATGTTTGAAAGCCCAACCTCTAAAGCTATGAGTGTCCGGTGGGTATTAAAGGTTTTTTTGATGAAAGCCTGGACTTCAGAGAGATCTGGGGCCTGGGGAAGAGGCCAGAAAGCTGGTGGCACCTGCAGGCGGGACACTGAGGATCTGACCTGGAGGTGGTGGGGTGGCAGGAAGAAGGCAGGCAGGCAGGCAAAGATGAACAGTGGTTTGGATGTGTGTTTGGATCCCTTTGGATCCACTGGATGTGTGTGTGAGTGGAGTTTAGAATGTTTAGCTTGCCCCAGGTTGGCACATGGATGGGTGGCCAGGAGGCCTGTGATGGCATTCCTGGAACTGCCACCCCAGTCTTCCTGACACTTTGTGACTTAACTTACAGACCTAGTCCAGGTGGTGAGCAGAGACAGACCCAGAGGAGACTGAAAAGGGAGCTGGGTTAGGGGGGCGGTGTGTGTAGAGTCAGGGGTGAGGCTGGGCTGACTACAGTTCTTGCTTCACAGAAGACGGGTGTGGCCGGGGAGCAGGGAGCAGAGTAAGGGAAACTTTAGTCAGCCACTGGCCATTGCTCAGGGGGATGTCCAGGCGGGTCCCTTCCCCTCTCCTCTGAGTGCCTGCCTGCCTGCCTGCCTGTGTCCTCCCGGAGCCCAGGGGAGAGCAACCCAGCCCTCTGTCCGGGGGGCGGGGGGGGGGGCGGGGAGGCGGGGAGGGTCCCGAGGCACCCCTCACGCCTGCCCCCTGGAGGCTCTTCCTGGTCAGTTCAGGCTTTCAGGTGGACAGCGTCCCACAGGGAGGCTCCCCCCACGGAGACCTCTTCCCTCTCCTCCGTCCACCTTTCTTCAAGCCTCCAAA